CTGATTTGGCCAAGACCTTACCCTGAGAAAAATCGCGATAAGAGTATACCAACTACATGGTAGCTTACCAATTCCACTCCCCACTGGTCGAAGCAGTTGGTACCCCAGATGGCTGCTTGGACCATAGTACGATGCTCATAGGCCGCAAGGAGGGCACCAGCAGAGGTAGCGTTGCATGTGCCAGGGAAGAGGAGAGACAATGAGGGACGGTTGCCGGGGAAGAACTTATGGTCCATCAACTCAGCAGGGACCTGATTACTTCAAATTCGCACATACCACACATCTTTCAACTCACCCCCTCCTTCTCGAGCTGGTCATAGCCCTTGCCGAAGGCGAGAGCATCGGGTTGGGCGAAGAAGTTAGACATGAGCTCATCGTGGTTGCTGACGGGCTCGCCGGCAAGTTTGATGGGATTCTGCGACTTGGCGAACCCAATGAACTCGCTAGGCACAATAGTGGTGCCTTGATGAAGCTCCTGGTAGAAGGAATGTTGGCCGTTAGTGCCGGGCTCACCGAAATGGACCATACCTGTTGTTAATATGATACAACGAATAATGGAGATGTGTCGTAATTACCAGTGCTGAAATCCACAGTGTGGCCGTTGAGAGTTACTCGCTTGCCGTTGCTCTCCATATCAAGCTGTTGAATGTGAGCAACAAACCTCACCAAGGCCTGGCAGTAGGGGAGAATGGCCGTGGACGAGGCACCGAGGAACGTGCGGTTCCAGACGGCAATAAGGCCCATCAGAGCTGGGATGTTCTGACTGAGATCCTTAGTATTGCGGAAATGCTCGTCCATCAAATGAGCACCTAAACACTGTAACATGGGAATCTTTCCAGATGGGACATAGGCATTACCCTGAAGGAATTGGTTAACCTGCTCGAAGCCGTACTGAAGGGCGAGAGGAAGACAGCCAACAGCAGAGCTGACAGAGTAACGGCCTCCGACCCAGTCCCAGAAGGCAAAGACGTTCTCGTCATCGATACCAAACTCCTTGGTCAACTCCAAGGCGGTTGAGCATGCGCAGACATGCTTGCTGACAACTTCAGGGGACTTGCCGAGGTTGTCGAAGAGCCACTGGCGAACAGTCTTCGCATTGAGCATGGTCTCGGCAGTGGTGAAGGTCTTGGAGATGACGACAAGGAGAGTCTCCTCAGCGTTGAGACCATCGAGGGCTCTCTCAACATCGATAGGATCGACGTTGGCTAGGAACTTAGTGGTCCTTCCCTCAGCGGCTTTCTTTGCCACAGGGTCGGTACGAAGAGCCTCAAAGACGAACTCGGGACCTGACATAGAAAATACGCGATAGAGCCAAGGTCCCAGTGGACAACACTACCGAGATAGGAACCGCCAATGCCGACAGCGACGACGTTCTTGAGGAGCTTTCCGGTCACACCACGGTGCTCGCCGGAGCGGATCTTGTCGGAGTAGTTCTTGATCTGGTCCAAAACTCTCTGAAATTGAGACGAGAATGATATAAAAAAAGAGGTTAAAATGGGCAATGAGAGGATAGAACCATATACCTCGAGATAGGCAACCGTGAACTCCCCCTATTACCCAAACATCCTCGATGACATTCTTACCATCAACCATGACCTTACTACCACGAGGAGCTCTCAAGGCGGTATGAAGGACAGCCCTCTTCTCAGTGGTGTTAATCTTAACACCTATAAAGGAAACCCCATCCACACCAGAAGAGACACCTCAACCTTCCTCACCATTGAACATATCTTCGATCTTCTGATCGAGATGAGCCTCCTCGGCCAAGTCAAACAGAGCCTTGCGGGAAGCATCGTTGAGGCGCTCTCTGGAATAGTCCAAGGTCACACCCTTTAAGTCGGAAGGGGTCACGAACATGGACTTGTTGCGCTCTGAGAAGACATGAAGAATAACTTCCACGACAAGGGTTAATCATCGCCCTCACCTTCATCAGCCATAAGCTCTTTCAAGTGGACATTTTTGATCTTATCGGCCGCGGCGGCAGCGTTAGCGAATGCCTGGGTGCTGGAAATCATCCTAGTCTAAGAAAATCGACTGAATTGATGGCACAAATCCGGACCTATTCTGTATCTCGCATCCTTGAACCCAAGATACTCGCCCACTCGCACAGTGAACGCCGCTATTAAGCTCAGCCAAGGACACTTCGGATAGTCACACGCCACAAAATTGCCCAACGCTTATCCAACCGACAAAGTAAATTCTTCGCTGTGCGCAACGTGAGCGTTCAGTAGCGCATAAGGTTATCTCATAGGAAACTCCTATCCGACAATTTGCCAGTCGAAAATACACGCAAAAGTAGGCTGCTATGGTGCCACAGCTACGCTAAACCTCTTATCCTTTCTACGACAGCGGAGATCTCGCGCGCCCAGGTAATCGATTTTCTACGCAAGGTATGTAGACACATTTCCAGCACTTTGACATCCTCAACTTGCTAGTAGTATTAAGTCGGTGAGCGCTTGATCTTTTTCTGGCCGAGTATCCAAGGACCTTCAACTGAGGCTACCACTAATGACGACGAAACCGATGGTCTGAAATATCAAATTGGAAGTTCTGCAGACACGAAGCTGAGCTTTCGGTCGACGCTGTCAGAAAAAAATTCCAAGAAGGAAGTCCCACTGGCGCTGTCTAACGTAGTAAATGAGTACTCGATAGGCAACATTTACTATCAGGAAGTTTGTGGCGCGGTTATACACACAGGAGAGAAAAAAATGTCATCGGGAGAGCTTTTCGTACGCAGTTTCGAACGTTTGAAATAAGGCTTGTGTTCAGTGTGTTAAGAAGTGGAGACGACAGTAAATGTTATTGTAGTTTTTTCTCTTTGTGAGTTGGGTTTGCGATGAGCTCGTTGAATCTAAAGAGCCTCCAACACCTTCAGAGCAAGATGTCGGCTGCAGTGCCCAAGGTGGGTAAGGGTATGGTAGAGAGGTAGAGGTAGAGGTAGCGATGGCAGGTCCTGAAAAAGAAGGAGGGTCGGTATTTCCATGCTAATAAGAGAAGTGAGATACATGAGATGAAGGAGGAGTTGCACAGTCATGATAAACATAAGCAGAAAGATGCTATCAAGCGGGTAGGTCAGTTGGGAAGGTCGCTGAGTCTCTATGCTGACCACCCGGGTTCCATCCCAGCACTAGTGCCTTCTAATTAGCTGAGCTCTCATTGAGAGGGCTCTCAATATAATACACATGGCTCGGCTTTGTCGACTAACTCCTGAACAGGCCTACACTTCTCTATTATCAGGTCATAGCGAGTATGACCTTAGGAAAGGATGTCTCCAGCCTCTTTCCGGACATGGTACAATGTATGCAGTCGAACCAGATGGAGATCAAGAAACTTGTGTATCTATATGTACCACTTCCGTATCTTACGTGATTCGACCTAAGATACCTTTTGTGTGAACAGGTTCTCAATTATGCGAAGACCCAACCCGAGCTGGCCGTGCTTGCTGTTAATACTTTTATGAAGGACGCGGGTACTGGGAGAAGTCTCTCGGTCTTTATGACTCCCGGTCAATAGTTCATACCACTCCTTCTCGAAATCGTATCAAATGGTCTTCAACGTGCGTGGCCATTCAGGTGATCCGAACCCACTTATCCGTGCCCTCGCTTTACGGACGATGGGGTGTATCCGACTTGACCAGATTTGCGAGTGAGGCGGGAGCACGGTGGAGTTTCGGGGCGCGTGACGCTCATATCGCAGGTATTTGCTGGAGCCTCTACGACGGTGCTGCCGCGACCAAGACCCGTATGTGCGGAAGACTGCTGCCATATGTGTTTCGAAAGTGTGGGAGGTAGTATGCGATGGCGAACAGAGGAAGGGATCGAACTTGAGTCGGTATCAGATAAATCCGGAAGTCGTAGAGGATCAAGGCTTCATAGAGGTCCTGAGGGACATGACAGGCGACAGGTGACGAGGGGCTCGGAATTTCAGGGCGCAGTGACGGCCATTCGATCGCCGGTTATCCGCATTGTCAGGAACCCAGTGGTCGTGGCTAATGCTGTGGCGAGCCTTTTGGAGCTATCGGAGAGCAAGGAGGACCCATCGGTTTTGGGCATGAACTCAAGGATGGTGGAGAAGCTTCTATCAGGTAGTAGGGTGGCGGGCAGTAGTAGTAGTAGTAGTAGTAGTAGTAGGACGGGATTCCTGCTGGTCTTTTCAGCTCTGAATGAGTGCACTGAATGGGGGCAGGTGATGCTTCTGGACGGCATTGCACTGTATGAACCCAATGGTAGGGAAGGGATGAGGTTGGGGTATCTTGGGGTATCTAGAGGTTAGGTTCGCAAGATGCGGAAGGGGTTATCGAACGTGTCACGGCACGACTGTCGCATGCTAACCCAGCAGTTGTTATGGCAGCGATGAGGGGTGAGTGGGCATGCGTGCATACCACACCTCTGTCACATCGTGTGCCTCAGTGATCATGTCCGACTTGGACAAGGTGACAGAGAATGCCGACTTTGTGAAACAAGTGGTGAAGAAGCTGCATCCACCCCTAGTGTCCCTCCTATCTAACCCACCGGAGATTCAGTAGGCTTCCTGTCTGTGTTGCACGGAGTGAAATCTTCGCGGTGCGATGGGGTGTATCTTTAGGTATGTTGCAATTCGTAACCTCAATTTGATAGTACAGAGATATCCCCAGGTCATGAACAGTGATGTGAAGGTCTTCTTTTGTCGGTAGTACCTCTGGGCCTTCCAGGGGGTGGGTGTTCTCGATCATAGCCACGCTATTGTGAATGGGAATCGGCATAGGACTGTGCTCGGCTGAGCTCACGTTTATGGGTATGTCCGATAGGGCCCTTGAATGTGGGGGTGAATTGATTGTGTTATTGGAAGGGATGTGTCGTAGGCGTTATGCTCTCCTTCCCTTCCCTCTGGGACGTGTTGCTCCGTGGTAGATATACGGACCCTGTGTACTTGAAGGTAGAGAAAGTGGATATGATGGTACGCCTGTGCACTCCGAAGAATGCTGAGCAGGTTGGTGCTGATCGGATAATTCGTCTTGTGTATTGGTCTCGACAGGTGCTGTCAGAATTCAAGGAGTATGCTGCTGATGTTGATATCGATTTCTCTCGGAAAGCGGTGAGTTGTGGTTCCGACTATGGTGAACCGAGGAAATATCGTGGATAGAGCTGATGATCAGGTCAGAGCGATTGGGCGAGTAGCAGTGGAAGTGGACGGCGTAGCGAGAATGGCCATGCCTGTTCTCCTCGAACTCATCGAAATGAAGGTCAACCATGTCGTAAGCAGTGGACATTGGGACGGGCGCTATCGACTTGAGTGGAGTTGTTCAGGTACAGGAGGCGGTCGTGGTTGTAGCTGATATCTTGCGGAAATATCATATAGAGTAAAAAGGGGTTATCGACTCTGTAGTTCTTCCCTGTGCGTTCATTCTAATACAGTACGCGCCATCTAGAGACCGAACGTACGTGTGCAGGGGTAACTTTTTCTACAGAATGACTGTGAAGCTAGAATTTCGAATATAAGGTCCTCTTATAAAGTTCTATTACGTGGACCCTGGCCGCAATCGATTTTCGAAAAAAAAATCATGGCATTTTTTCGCACGTGTCCGACCCCGGTATTGAACCTACGCCCTCCGTAATTGACCCCATCTACAACGATTGATCATCTGGACACAGAATAGTACCGTCGGCTGTAGGATATTGGCGGGTGGTCTCGGTAGATATGAGAAGGCGATTTCGGCACTGTGCGATAACCTAGAGTCCTTGGATCAGCCTGAGGCAAAGGCCAGTATGATATGGATATTGGGAGAATATGCTGAGCATATAGAGAATGTGGATACGGTATGTTGGCTGCATCGCTCCGCTAGGCTTGATGGTATTTCTTGGTTGGTGACAGGTCCTCAATACATTTATGGAGTTCTTCGCTGATGAGCCTGTGAGTGTGCAACTGCAGTTATTGACGGCTATTGTGAAGCTTTTCCTCAAATGCCCTGGTATCGGCGAGCCTATGGTGACACAGGTCGGTCGTGGTGACACTGTGGTGGTCCTTAATTCACGAGTCTGGTTATAGGTTCTCCAGATGTGCACAGAGTACAGCGATAACCCAGACCTGAGGGACAGAGGGTATCTTTATTGGAGGCTCCTTAGTACGGACCCAGAGCTGGCCAAGCAGATCGTGCTGTGCGACAAGCCAGAGGTGTTCTCTTGGGGAGGGGGCATGGACAAGGGCAATGGTCATGTGATAGGTTTGGTCTCCGGTGGAGTCTGCTTATATGCGACAGTATCATCGGCAGCTGCTGAAGAAGCTATGTGACGAGACTGGGCTCATGTCGAGTGTGTTTTATCTACCAGCAGAGGAGTTCATTACCAGAATGAGGGTGGGGGGAATCGAACCCGGGTGCTTGGGTTACTAGCCTGAGCAGGTTCATGATACAGACGACTACACTGGTGACGATTATCAACAGGACTTGTTGCAGGGAGATGACAGAACGTAAAAGCACTTTGGTATGCACGCATGTACATGGCGCTTTTTCGTTCAGCCAAGCACAGCCGAGAGGTATTTCAGAGGAGGATGGGTCCTCATCTGCTGACGCTTATACCAGACCAAGTCCAGGTAGGACTCTTATAAGGTCTCTCGCCTCCCGTTAGTTCACCGGTTGCTCAGGTCCGACGACGTTCGACCTGCTCGATCTGTAATGGGTTCCTCGGCCATCATCGTCACCATTGTAGTGGGAGGTCCACAGTTATTGTGTCAAGTCTCACAGGCACTCTCCCGAGTTTCAGTTTGTCAATGGCAAGGGAAGGGTTCTCTGGATGTCCTCTTGTTGGGGTGTTGATGGCTTGTTTGAGGCTGGAAGTGGAGTTACTGCCACCGAACTATCGCCTTAGAGGGCTTTAGATAGCAGCGGCTCCGCGTGAGGCATCTGCTGTTGACCACCGCGCGAGGGGACTGTTGAGCATCTTAGGTCGACTTATCGCTGGACTCCTAATAAACTGACTCATTCGAACGTTTAGAAATTCGTTCTCGACATTTTACTGTATATGGTGTGGGTGAGTATTATCACAAAGGCCTTCCTTACTCCTGCGTACGGCTCTTGTAGTCTCTTCAGCTGATGCCTCTATTTCGGTCGAATGACCATCAGCGATGTACATTCGTCTTCTCCTGGATACTTCTAAGTGCCGGCGGGGTGGAACTCGGTGCTACTGCCGCGGTGGGCCGGGCAAAATTGAGTTCGAAAATAATTCCCCCTTCGAGCGCTGTTTGGGTGAGTAGTGAGGAGAAGCTGTCGTAAGCACAGGGAGAATCCGGTCAGGTTCCACCAGACGCTCAGCTGTCGCGTACTACTGTTCGAATGATGAGCATCGCGGGGTATTGTAGAGCGTGTCACAGCGCTATACGGGGTTGTTCCGTGGCTCTCATTGACAATCCAGCAGTCGCTACTCAGCAGCGGAGCTTCTTAGGTGACCATGATTGTTTTCGAGATCGGAATTCTGGATAGAAAACAAAATGGTGTTGTGCATACCGAACCTAGAAGTCCATATGGCTGTGTTCCTTCAGTTCCCCCTCCAATACAGTGCTGCCTTGACAGTGATGATGGGAAGTATAAATACAAGCTCATCGAAGCTGCAGCCTTCGAGGATGATGGAGAAAATGGGGAGATTCCTTCGACTGACGCCTTCATACGGATTTCGGCTCATGTTGACGATATACACTTTGGCCATGATCGACTGAGACCGTTCTTCGTGATACCCGAAGGGCGGGCTCTGGGGCGCATGTACGAGAATCTTGCCGAGAGAAGAGAGTCCTTGTCGGAAGGCGCTCTCAAACCTCTGCAGCTAGTCGTGGAGCGCGATCGGTTGATGGCACTAGTAAGCCTTCAGGTGGCCTCATGAGTGTTCCTTGAATGCTTCACTTAGGATGGTAATAGACGCCTAGCTGTATTGAAGGCACTGCACTGTCGGCATCCTGAAGTGTTCGATGGTTGGCTGGATGAGTGCCATGTGCTCATTTCACCGTCTTCGGCGCGTCTCAAACGGAAAATTACAACATCCCCGATGATTGATGGTCGGACGGTCCGTTTTGAGGTAGGCAGACTTTGTGAGTAATGCTGTTTTCGCAATAGCTCTTTCGTTTCCTCTCCTAGGCACACGCGAGAGTTTCTGATGAGGTACCCTACTGGGCACGAGGTCTCTACTTCGTTAACAGCGGTCCTGCCTTCACGAGAGGCATGCTGTTGGATGATATCTCAGGCTAGCTCATGCACGCTTTATGAAGCCTTCGTTTCAATATCTTCATTTTTGAGTGACTGCGGATCAATTCAAGAGTCATTCAGCACGAGAGATCCAGGCATGATTCTGGCGATTGCAGATGTCTGATCGAAAATGGAGCATCCCTCGTAAGTCATCGTGATCCGTGGATTGGCCGTTCTCCTTGCGTCGCCAGCCAGCCATCGAGATGATGCTCGGATTCAGCAGATTGAAGGCGGGTTTTACGAATTATGAGCTTGGAGCCAACATGAGGTGAGAGAAATTCCTGTGAGAAATATCAGGCTGATACTATTAGCTGTTCATGCGAATGCGAACCGCATAATGTGATCGCGAATCTTCGCTGGAATCGCCATGTGAGAACGGCTCGATGCCAGTGAATGTGATTACTGAGCAAATTAGACAACGTCCACGCGAAATAGCTCGTCGGATGGTCAGCTTCACAGCTCAATCTGCTATTGCCCATTCCCTCCGTATGCTCACAGAGAAGCGTTATGTTCTACTGTGTATCCCTGCTCTCGGGTTTTGGATCTCCTCACCTCTCGACGCTGGCTCTGATGCGCGATTTCGGGTGGCTTGTTACAGATTGCAACTCTAAGTGCAGACGCTATATGATTCATAACTTTACATCTACAGGCTGTGAGGCACACGAGTCGTTGATG